TTTTTCTACTGTTTAAAACATCTTTTAATCAATCATATATATATAAAATTTTTATATAAAATTTAATTTGACTTTTATTATAATTTATAATAAGACATGTCAAGTAATTTACAAGACACGAATACCTAGTACGAAGCCAAAAAGTTTATGTAAACAAATATTCTTAATATGTTTAAAAAAGTTTTGTATGAATTAATTTAGTAATATATCAGCAAGTAGTTGCAAGATATCGAATTATACAATTTAATTGATTCCAAAAATATATAAATAGGACTATATAAATTCATTTATTTTCATCATTCATCCCTTTACAAGTAAAAATGACATTAATTTATGTATATTTTTATACGTACAGAATGTCTTTCATATTTATATACATACACTACAATAAACATTGACTAGAGTTGAGTTAAAAATTAAGCCAAATTATTTAAGTAACTTATTGTATTTTTCAGTAAAATTACAGGTATCCTTGCTTAACGCGACTTTGCTTAAAGCGGGATTTAATTAACGCGCGAAATTAATTGCGACAATCCCTTTATATATGCGGCAGAAGTTTTAATTTACGCGACTTTACCAGTTGTCTTTATTTAATTAATATAGAAACCGTATTTTGATTAACGCGATTTTGATATACTCGGTAGGATCGAGGGATTAATTAATCGCGTTAATCAAGGGATACCTGTAGTTTTTAATCCTGTTTTTGTGTTAACAATTCATGAATGAGAGTAAGTTACTAATTAAATTTTATAGCTCATTAATTCAATAAAAAGTAAGCTATTCTTAATGAAACGTGAATATAATGAAATGATGAGGATAAAAAATTTCCACACAAGAGTGATACGTCATGTTTACTTCAAACGTCAATACAGTAGAGCATTATCCGACCCCGATTAACCACCACCTCGGTTAACCGACCGCGTTCTAGTCGGCAAATTCAAATGTCCGCTAGTGATGTGGCGCTACAATATCTGGCTATGTCTTGGCTACTTTAATATTATTTTTACGTGTTTTAGCTGGCAACACTGGATAGACCATGAAAGGGAGCCAGTATTTAAACGAGGCTTAATTTTCTAATTTTTAACGATACAATAGCGACGATTATTATTTAAAAGAAAATTTGATAAGCTTAACATGGAGGAAAATTCAACGCGAAGTAGGTTAATAGCGATATACTAATATACTAATTACATGGGATATAATAATATACTACACTAATAATGGATTTTTTCATACTTTTCTGTTATCCGACTTTTCAATTATCCGACCAACCCCAGTCCCCAATTGAGTCGGATAATCGATGCTCTACTGTAGAACCATTTAATTGTGGCTACATAGCTTAATAAATATATGAACAATGTTTTCCACATCAACATTCAAATGACAGTGACGAAACCGAAAAAGAAGTATAAATAATAAAATTATCCGAGTACAGAAAAGCTATAAGGGATTATTGATGACATAAATTATTTTTTTTTAGTTATAAAGTCTACAAATTCAATTGCACTTTTACGTATTTAGGCAGGGAAGATCCTTTAAAAAGACACTGACTTTAAAAAGACACTGTATAAAGGAATGGATCTAGGTTTTTCGGAGCCTAGGGCTTATTGAAGTCCATTGCGGCCCCATTTTTGCCTAACCTAACATAACCTAACCTATTAACTATTTTTTGCTATGCGATAAGTGCTCATTGTTAATGAAAAAGTACTAAAAATTTATGATAATAATTCAGTTTTTGTAGGCCCTTGACACTTGGGGACCCAAGGCTTAAGCCCTATTAGTCCCTATGTAGATCCGCCTCTGTTTGTGTATTTTATATCTTATGCTAGTATTTAAGAAAGCTCTTATGAAGACATTTATTTATTTTCACGTCTTCTACATACTGATTTAATTTACTTAACACGTTACAATTTACAAACACTTAACAATTTACAAACACGTTTAATTATATTAATTATATAAATATTTAGATAAATAGCAATAAGAATTTACAATATACCAAACACAAATATATTTTTTAAATAAATTGTTTCTATTATCATTTATTAAAAACTAACACATAATAGTTCAAAATTTTAATTGAGTAGAACTATTGCATCCTTGATATAGCTTACATTCCATAATTAAAAAAATAAAGATGATTAGAAATATTAATAATTCTTTATCGAAAAATAAATAGATTATAGAAAATTTTTTAGGTATTCGGTATGACAATTAACAGGAATAAATAACAGCATAACAAGTAATATTTAACAGGTTAAAAAAATGACCATAAATGTTATGCAAAACAAAACAAGATATACGTATTTATTGCTTGTTTAAATTGTATGCTTGTTAGAGAAAATTGTAACTATTTAAATTATTGTAAATTGTTTGGTTTTACAAAAACATAGCACGATGTTTTTTAACGAATTTTCGTACGTAAGCTGTAAAAAATAAAGATCCGAATACCAACGACTACAATAAATTTTAAGCCTTTATTTGTCCAACATTGATGACATATTAAGAATAAAACGTTTATCTATATTAAAACAAAAAGGATTTAAATTTAGTGAATGATGATCGAAGAGTGGACTTATAAGATATGTAGCGGTATATTCACAATTGTTTGAAACAGAATTTTCACAAGTTATTTTCTGACAAGTTACTGACAAGTTACTTTACTTCACTTAAAGAGAACAAGAGCTGTCTGTCATTTAGCGGCAGACTTAGCCCTATAAAAAATGGAAGGAAGAGGAAAGTATGAGAGACCAAGTGTGAAATAAGGGAGATAGGAAAGTGTGACTATAATACGCAACACATTCGTGCTGCATATTATAGTCACTTGTCAGTTATAACGACATTAAAGTTTTCTGGGATAATCTAGTTTAAGACAATTTTTATTAAAAATCTTTACCTATATTTTACACTTATTTTTTCAATAATTAATTATTTTTAGTCCATTCTATGTATTAGCATATTTATATCTAGGCCAGAAGTTCCCAAACTTTTTGACTGTCGATTCCTTCAAGAATTCTTCGACCTTTCGACTCCCTCTTCTATATTTGCAAATAAATTACAGTTAATAATAATAATAAATTAATTAATTAATTCTTTCAGTCAGCATTAATCCACGCACTGTCTTAATTAATAAAAAAGATCTGTTTACAGTGAGCAAATTTACATCATCCTGAACTGTCATATACATAACCACTAGACTAATAATTTTTAACGAACCGTTTTCAATTAACTCCAGACTAATTTTCGATCCTTAAAGTACCTTGGGATCGATATAGATCACTTTGGAGACTTCTAATCTAAGCTACTACTTCTGTAAGAAAAAATATGCGATTTAAGATTAGTAATTATATAATGACAAATAAACCTATAAACCAGATTTATAAATATTTAATCTATGTGAAAACTCCTTTAACAACAAAAGACAAAATTAGAAATGGCACATGTCTATGGATACGTGCCATTTCTAATTTTGTAACTCATGATTCAGACGATCATGCAAGAAATAATATACTGTATATAATACATACATTATTTATAATCTAATATATATAATATATATCTTCTACGAGCTGTCTACACCGTATAGACTACAAGCAAAAATAATACCTCTATATTTTGCTAACGCAAAATGACTTTTATAGAATTAAATGGGGTAGTTTAAAATTTAATTTTACGTGATGAGAAAATTCCTAACGGGTAAAATTTTGGAAAAAAGTGTTGTAAAATGTTAGAATTACTAAATACGCTATCTGTGATATAATAGAAGGAGAATTGGTTGTGGAGTGGAAAGATAAAAAGAAACGAAACAAACAAACAAAAAAAAAAAGAAAAACAAAAAGAAAGGAAAAAGAATTACAGTATACTATATTAGACTTTAACGGAATTAGTTTACAACAAAAGGCAATGGTAAGAGAACTCTACTACCAAAACTAAACGTAAAATAGAACAAGGACAATAATAAATAAAAAGAAAGCAATGGTAATGAAAACAGCAGAGTTGGCATCGAGCCTCTGTAGCCAATTATACCGCTGTGTTGTAATCTTGGAAAGGATCACTGTACTTATTTCATAAGTTCATTATATTTTCATTGAATATCTCATTCTACTTATTTTTGTTCTGAATTTCACTTTTTTAAAATAAAATAATAATTAATTACGGATATTTTCTTTTAAAAAATGTATGTTAAAGCATAACTTATTATATGGCTCTTGATACTTTGGCTTCTGTTCAAAGTTGAAAAAATGTTTTTTCTCGCTAAGCCCATATAATTTTAATTTATTATAAATTAAATAATTAAAATTATTTCAAATTTTATGACTAACAAAATAAACCAAGAAATTGTAGTGAGAAAAGAATTCAGTTTTGAGAATGAACTTTAGATATAGCATAATCTCAATAATTACAGTAAATAATTCATAATAACCGTCTAAATATTATAAAACTTTTTAGACACTACACTAAACTTTTTCTCCAAAACAAATTAGAAAATGATTCTTAAATCACATTTATTGGTGCGAAGAAACTATAATTAAAAAATTATGGTTGGTTGTCGTTCATAAATGGCTTTTGTTATCTCGACTGATTATTTAAATAATTAATTTTTACACGACGAAACATTGGGCTCGGGTATATTAAATTTATATTAATGTATTAAATTTAAATATATTATATTTAATATAAAAAGTCATTGGCTTCTACTAATTTTCAATTACAAGCATTTTATTCTAATAATATTGAACTTTTTTATTTTGTGGATGATATATTTAATTAATACAAACTCGAAATAAAAATTTAAATAATTGAATCTAAATTTATATAGATAGTTTCAGCCCTCTTTGTAAAATGGATCAGAGTCTTCGTTTTGCATATATTTCATAAAAACTGACCTTGCTGTAATCTTAAACTTTTTATAAACATTTAAAATAAAATTATAGATTTATATAAACATAATTTATAATAATAAATTAATTGAATTAATAACAGATTTTTTTTTGTCACAGCTATATGTTGCACTTTGGCCGTTATCATATTTGGAGCTTTGGGTGACGGAAGAGACTGGATGCCTTATCCTGATCACAATTATTTATCTTGGTCATTTGGATTAGGTGTTTTGGGGGCCATTTTGGCTTTTATAACAGCAATTTTATTCTTTGCGGATGCTCTACTCGTTAAACACAAGCAGAAACATTCCACTCAACGCCAATCCTACAGAATGGAGCAAACCGAAGTGAAAAATGTTAACCTTTGATTTAACTTTTACAAAGATATTTTTATATTTTTAGCTAAATCTTTCAATTATTTCTATTTCACCATAATTTTATATATATATATACACTTACACTTCATATTTTATATATTTCACCCAATTTTGGCATTCACTTTATCACGCAAAATGCAGCATACAATTGTGTAACAGGAGTGTAAATAAACATTAATTCATTCATTTGTATCTCGTGATGTTTTTATACTAAAAATAAAATCTAATTCTAAAATCGATTTTTTGCTTACTCTTAAAAATACTTTCTCGGAAATTTAAACAAAACTAATAATATTTTGTTATACACGTTTTATTAACTTACTCTCTCTGGTCGTAAGTTGTCTGTTTGTCTGTCCAGATAAAATAACTCAACTTTTACACACTTTCCGATTTCCGATCTAGTTGCAACTTTGCATACATACAGTATGTACTGTACAGTACGTAGGCTGTTTTTTTTCAAGTTCCGATGGTCTATACAAAAAACACGAGTGTAAATAACAAAATGAATTTATTACCAAAAGTTAGGTACAAACATAGTTACTTTTCGACATAATCACTGTGAAGATTGAGGCATTTGTCATATCTGTGGACGAGCTTTTCCATCCCCTTGTCATAGAATGTTGACTTGAGATGGGCCCTAACGTTGTTTTGAAGATCGTCATTAGTCTCGAACCTCTGCCCTTCTAGCCATTTTTTCAGTTCAGGAAAGAGGTGGAAGTCTTCACACATTAAAAAGTTTCAAGCTAGGTGGAAGTCTTCACCATCTTTAAACACCCAGTGTATATCCCCGATTTAGCACCGAGCGACTTCCACTCTTTCCTGAACAGAAAAAGTGGCTAGAAGGGCAGAGGTTCGAGACTAATGACAATCTTCAAAACAACGTTAGGGCCCATCTCAAGTCAACATTCTATGACAAGGGGATGGAAAAGCTCGTCCACAGATATGACAAATGCCTCAATCTTCACAGTGATTATGTCGAAAAGTAACTATGTTTGTACCTAACTTTTGGTAATAAATTCATTTTGTTATTTACACTTGTTTTTGTTTCATGGACCATCGGAGGTTGAAAAAGAAATAGCCCTCGTATTCCCGATGACAATACACTTTTTTGAACTTTGCAAACAATTTTAGCAATTATCAAAAAAATTGGCGAAAAATTGAAATTTGTATATCAAATCTGATAACAGCGACTCTACACGTAGTTATGCCCTTTTTTAGACTTACTGTATAAATAAAACTATATAAAACTAAAAAAAAATTATTTTAAAAAAACTAAATTAAAAAATTTAAAAAAAATTTTTAATTTAGTTTTTACTTTTTAGTGCATTTATTCACAAAAATACACTAAAAAGTAAAAACTAATTCATTTCCAGCTTTCACAGTAATCTTGTTGTTATTCCACCAAAAATAAAAACATCAAACGCTCGTAGAAAATCCATAAAAATTGTTAGAAAGTTAACTATTAACTAAGAATATTTTTAAACATGAGCGCCCCATGCTTTTATTTTTGATTGCATGATACCAAAAATATTATAAAAGCTAAAAAAATTATTTTTTACCTTTTAGTGCATTTATATGGATAGAAACCGTTTCTTTAAAATATCCTTTTTTCATAATTTTTATTTAAAAATTCGCAAATTTAGAAGAAACACTCAATTAGAGTAAAAGTGCCTTTATAATTCGTCCCCTTTCACATCTGGAGACATTCTAAAGGGGAACTGGGGATTTTTTCTCTGGACTCGAAAAAATGTAGGCCTTAGGGGTTCCGTAGTGGTTCCTATCCCAAGAATTCATGTTATTTTTAATAGCAAACCGTAAATTTTTAATACCGCTATTTAGTAATAAATAGACATTCTACGTATTTCATTTGTTAAACAAAGAGCCCCGCTCTACCTTGGGCCCAATTCTAAAATTACGACGGCTTCGTCTACAAATTTATATATATTAATATAATATTTTTGTATTATATTATGTAGACCAAATAAACTTATAACGACATTCCGTAAGTGGGCCTTAATACGATGCTTCTGTTTACGATCTCAATTAAAATCTTAAAATTATTCTGAAAAAAGATGTGACATTAAAAATAACCGTTGATTTAATTAATTTATTTACTGAGCACTCGTAAATTAATGTATAATTAGGAAAAAAACCATTAGTGAAAACAATTTTTAGGGTTTTCCTGATTAAAACATATTCGCAAATGTACAGTATGGACTCGACTTATAATTAAACAATTTCTTTAATTATAGGCAAGTATAAAAAATAATAATATTCTATTGATAATATAGGCCTATATAATAAAAAATATTTAAAAATCTTATAAGATTTTTTAATATATTTTTCCTTTTTACTGATTGGTATTATTAGGATTGGTATCATTAGAGAGAGAGAGAGAAAAAAAAATTAGCGACCGAATGACCTTCTTACTGCCGCCATTAACATAATTTAAAGAACTACCAAATGAAGTGCATTCGTTCGATTAAATAATTAAAAGAATGAAAAAAAGATATAATTATAGTAAACAATAATATAATAATAGCATTATTATATGCTTATAAATTATAATAAATAACTTAAAAGTATTGCGCGAGAGAAATAGTTATGCAATGTAAAGAAAAAAATTAGGTCAACAATTTTAATTAATGCATTTAATTCAACGATAGAAAAAACAATGTTAAATAGAATCGAAACTCCAATATCGGCCACCTGTAAACAGCGTCCACTTTCTCGGGAATTTTTTTAAACACGTGTATGTACGATAACCTCTAAGCCACGGCCATTAATTAATTAAATTAATTAATCTTCCCATCAGTGACCGTTGTTCGGAGGTTTAACTGTAAAAGCATTTGGAATTTGATATATAGAGTATATAAACAAATAGATATACAGTATATATAGAGAATATTTCTATAACCGTTATAGAACTCTATAGTTCTTCCATAAATTACCATATTTGCCGACATATAAGACGCACTTTTAACCTGAAAGATACTCTCTAAAAATGGGGTGCATCTTATACGCTGAAAAATATGGTAGATAAAATCTGTCTTAGCACGATTTATCTAATTACTGTATTATACTACTTAAATTTAACGCTAGAACCCGCGACCGACTAATAATTAAATGATTTTATCCATTCAGCCACTGGTGGGGCCTCACTTGGTAGATCGCCCTTGTTCTATGTTGCCATCTCCTATCAATCCAATCCACAAAAAAAAAAAATATAGAAATTTTGATTTTTGTAATTGTTTATTGTTTTATTTTTTTAAGCTTATTATTTAAGTAACATTGACGTAAAACAGAATGGAGTTATTTTTTCTGAGAAATAAGTAACTTTATTGTTATCGTATACCAATGTCAATGAACAATCGGCGAAACCCATTCGATAAATAGAATAATTACTCACGAGTCAGATATTTCTTATAATAATACGTTAGAATATTATATAAAGAAATATTTCTTACGCAGACTTTTTTTATTGAGTTTAATGTGTCGAAATTAATTTCACTTCGTAAAATTCAATATAAATTATGAAATAATATTCTTGTTCAATCAATTAATCAATAAACTTAAACGCTATTTTTGAAGCATTCATTAATCTATAACGAAGGACGTTATTCTGTATAAGTCGACATAGAAAATCGAAGGTGGTAATAAATTATGACAAACACTTAAACTTTATATAAGATATTATCAATAGACTGGTGACGTGGAGTTTTTCGTGTTTTCTTCGCGTATCTAACACCTAAATAGGAACAGAAAGTTCTCCGGGAGAAACCCGCTTGGCAGATCGCTCACGTTTACCTCTATACAATCCTACAATCCAAGGAATGCCTCCCGGAATGACTTTCTACGGGTAACTAGCCCACTAAATCCGGAAAATTCCACTCTGCTACTAGTGCGTTTTTATTTTTTGAGATAGCTTGATAAGTATTATTCGTATTTTCATATTTAATTTTATTTATAAGCAAAATATATACTTGAGCAATGTATTAAATATTGTATAAAAACATCATGTATGAATTTGTCTGAAATAAGTGCATCTTTAAACAAACAATTTAATAAAAATAATCAGAATATACATATAACAGTAACACCATTATTTTAATAGCCCAGATAATTTAAATTTTATATAAAAGATTATCAATATATATATATATATACTGTATATAGATTATATTAATTTCAAAAAATGATAAATTTTAATATATAGGCCTCTATATATATATATTAAAATTTATCATTTTAGAATTAATATTTCAATACATCAGTGATTAATTTTTCAGTTTAAAACCATAAATCATCTTTTCTTCATCAATCTAATGATATTACTGCCAGATGTCGGGCCCCGTTTATCACCCCCTCTCCCACCAGTGTGAGATTGGCTGAACCCACGACGGACTTGCTAAAAAAATGGCCCTCTTAGTGTCCACAGGATGGAAAGAGACAAAAATAAAACAAAGCGGAAACGTTTATTATCTTTACAGCGAACAATACCTACAATTAATTATGTAATGGATAAATGTAAGAACATTAAAAACATATTTTGTCGAATTCGTATTGTCAAATAAATGAAAATCCAATTCTGTAAATGTGAATTTTATTATCCATTGTTTTCGATTATCCGGACGTACGCCTTCTATAATAATCCCGGTTAATGGAGTTTCTACTGTTTAAAAAAATTCGAAATTAAACTTCCTATGAAAAAAATATCAAGTAAGAAACAAGTTTTCAAAATCAGATCGTGGCATAGAAATATATAAAAAGTTATACGTTTGTTTTTAATTATTTGAACAACTTATCTCGTAGATTAAGATAAATTGGAAATAATTATATTCTATATCTTGAAATTAATTATAAATTTAATTAGCCTATTTTTCAGATTAAATTAGAAAGTTCTTGCGATATAATTTGTGTCTAAAGTATAATCGTTTACATTAATTAGGTACGTTTTACTCAGTTAGAGTATAATTATTGAAACGGAAGACAATAAGATAATTTAAAATGTCTCTCGAGAATTAAAGACGATTTATAATTTAATATAAAATCAACGTTTATCGTCTAATATTAAATTAGATTTGGATTTCAATGTTATAAAAGTTTAATTTGAAAAATATAACGAACTTTTCTAGTGTCTGAGTTTAAATGATTATTTCGATAAAATAAATTCAATTAAAATATTTCTTATGT